TTTGGTTGGTGAGAAAATTGTAATGTTTATGAAGAAAATTTGCAGAGAAAATTTGATGAGGAAATTTGTGATTTAATTTGTGATTTAATTAGAAATTTGTGATTTAATTAGAAATTAAATAAAAAAAATTTTAAGGGGACACGTTTTTAATTTATTTTTGCCACGTCAGTAAAAAAAATTATAAAAAATGCCACTTAAGCGAGTTAACGGCTCAAATTAACAGAAGGACTAACGAAATGTATTTCGTGAAGTTGAGGGATCAAAAAAGTGCAAAAAATTGTTGAGGGACCAAAAATGTTTATTTTTTAAAGTTGAGGGATCAAATTAAGCATTTAACCTAAAAAATAGGCTCTGGCTTTAAAATCACGTCACGTGCGGTTCGTTTTTATCGTAACATTCTAGCAGTTATTAAATATAATAATATTTATTCACAATTAAAATTAATTTTTAACTAATAAATACGAAAGTCATTTTAAATAGATATTAAATATTATAAACATATATTTAATTTTTATATCAATTAGAATTTGTTGACAAAAACATGATAAAACAAGTCATCATCATTAATTTATTTTATCTTTGGATGTGTAATTATTACAAATATATATCTTTTTTATCCCAACTTGTTTCATCTTTTCTTTTTTTTGAACATATTTTGCAAAGGGACGGGTTTTGAACCCTGCCTAGGGAGAGGAGAATGCATCGGTAACTAATACTACTAGGCTTCAAGGGCCAAATGCTTGTTTCATCTTTTCTTAAATGGCCATATTAGAAGGTTTTAAGTCAAAACATAGAAAACTTAACTCATTACCAATCTTTTCGTGGGATGTTTTCATTTACTTATATTCCACCTTTTATTATTTTTTTTTACAACATTATCTATTAGTTTATTTTTTACATATTTTATCACTATATTTATCTATCAACCTATATTCACCTCATTTTTTCCCTTTCTATATTAATAATTTGTTTCTCCCCTTATCCACCCACAATATTATTCTTTTTTAATCATTCATCCCACCCTTATCAATCATTATATATCTTTTTCATTCTAATTTTCTCTCTCCCTTTATCTAAATTAGATATGTTTGGAATCAAAAGTTAGAAGTCATAACTTTTTAACATTGTTTCATTGCTAACTTTTTACTTCTATACTTACTTTCACCTCTCAATTGTTTTTCTTGCGATACCATCTCTTAATTGATTACTCTCTTTCTTTTCCTCTAAATCATATTTACCTTCACTTTCCCATTCTATAATGATAATTTATTGGTTGTTATTATTTCTCTTCTTATCCTCCTCTCTAATATCATTGTACATCTTTTTACCCAAATTTTCTCTTTATATATATGATTAGATATTTTTTATTTTCTCATGAATATTACAATAATATATAAATATCTTAAATTACAAATAACCCAATAATATATGCAATAAATTTATACATATATCAATAAAGTTATAATTTTCATCAATATAAGAAAAAGAGTATACATTATTTCTCTCTTTTTATCCTCTTTAAATTAGTAATTTATTTGTTATTATTCAATGTCTTATTATCCTTTCATCTCTATCATTCTTTCTTAATCATTCTTTTAAATCTTTATTTATCAAAATGTTTATCATTTTTTACACTATTTTTTTCCTCTTGGTACTTATTCACTTATCTACGCTTCACGTTTCATTAATTTTTTTTAGATAACATCTCTTAACTTATTCTCTCACATTTTACCATCATATTTATCTATATATATATATATGAGAAAGGATCTATTTACATATTAATCTTATATATTACACTTA